TAATATTACGTAAATGCCCACGAAAACCATTGGGATGTAAATAAGGATAGCCAATAAGACATGTTCTAAAGGGATTCGATGGGGTGGCCATGGACAAGCAAAAAGGGCTTCTTGGCCAGTTTGGTTTGCCCAGGTGATCCAAACATTTTGTCGTGGGTTAACAAAAGGTACAGAGTTTGGATATACAAAGACCCCTGCTCCTATAATAAGGAGTTTGAACAAATAGAAGCACAGCATTATCAGGTGTCTAGGTTGTAGCAAACAACAAGTGCAAGTACGGTGCCGCGGGGTCGTCGTCCGGCTTCTGCGTGGCGGCATCGGGCTTTTTAGCAATTTGTGTTTTGAGCCACGGCTGGAGGGATCTTATCCGGTGGTTTTTTCCTATATGTCCTTTTAAAGTTAGATAAGCCTGGCTCCGCCATTCTTTTTAACCTATTTTGCAACTGCTCACCCTGCCCCGGGAACTCCGCTCGGAACTTTGGGGTACAAACATTATTGGTGACAGGAAAGCCGGGCTGGTTTAGGGCTCGCAATGTGTGGGACTGCGGGGGATGGCTCTCACCGGCCAAATGGGACAACTGATTTAGCATGTCCTGTAGCTGAAGGCCCTGTTTGTACATTTCCGCCTGAAATTTTTGTAACTTATCCCCTTTTGGGCTCGAGACCTTCGTTTTATCCGCGGGGTCGTCCGGTAACGGGACGATACTCGGATTAGCTTCGGGTGCACTGGGGATGAGTGGTATGATAGTGTCCTCACCCCCAAAGAACTTACGGGCTCCCACCGGCAACACATAAGGCGGCTCCTTTTTTGGCCGAAAGAGGTTATTAATGGCTGACTGGACCTCGGCTTCTGCCGCAAGCGTTTCTATATTAGTTTTTTAGATTTGCACCATATTAGGCTTAATGACACGGCCTCCTTGTTGCTGTGAGAGACCAACTTCCAGAGGTTAGAGCCTAGACTTTTCCAGACTGCCTTATTAAAGACCGTATTAGGAGTAACAAAAAACTCACGTCTTTGCCCCCATTTCAACAAACGGGACAACGTGTCAGAGGGAAGCTTCTCTCCCCGCTTTTTAGTGATGCGTAGTAAAAAATCATGCACCGTCTCCTTCTCTGCAGACAAAGCAGAGCCCATTTTATTAAATGCAGCCGCTTACCTGTGAGCTTACGAACGTCTTTTTTGGACGACCAGGAGCCGGTATCCTCCGGTACCTCCTGCCGCGGCTGCCACCTCCGCCTTTTCTTACCGAACGCTTTAGTCGGCTGTGAGCTCACGAACGTCTCTTTCGGACGACCAGGAGCCGGTATCCTCCGGTACCTCCTGAGCGGCTGCCACCTCCGCCTTTTCTCACCGAACGCTTCAGTCGGCTGTGAGCTCACGAACGTCTTTCTTGGACAACCAGGAGCCGGTATCCTCCGGTACCTTCTGCCGCAGCTGCCACCTCCGCCTTTTCTCACCGAACGCTTTAGTCGGCTGCCTTGATGTCCAAGCCGAATCACGTCGGGGTCACCATTTGTGGCATCCCACGCGGAGCGCATAAAGCACACGACCAATGTGGTTGCAAGCTGAATCCAATTCTGTTTATTACAAGCTTCCTTTTATAGTTTTTCTTAACATTACATAACACAATTAGGCTATAATCACACATCTACGGATTGGACAAAAAGGAAAATCATGTGTTTATCACATGTATAGCCCCACACCAATTGATTCAACCGTTCCTTACATAAGGCCATGATTTGTTTACCTTATCTTATATAATCCTAGACCACAAGGGGGCCTTACATAAGGCCATAATTTATTACCTTGTTTACCTTATTTTATATAATTCCTAGACCACCAGGGGGGCCTTACATAAGGCCATGATTTATTACCTTGCAAGTGTTCCATTGTGACCCTTACCTCCTCATGGAACTTTCCATTAGGTTGGCGTAGGGATGATACATCCCCACAGACATTCTACTTGGAAGGGCATTGTGAGGACCACTGCTGCCTTTCCACATGAGTGAATTCCTCTTCCAGCCCAGCTGCTTTGCAGGCACCAGGATGGGAGAATGAAAATTGTACCTCTCTGCTAGGGTTGCCAGGTGCCTGGTTTTTGACTGGAATGCCAGTCAAAAAGGGACCCTGGCAGCTCTGGTCGGCACCACTGACTGGGCCATTAAAAGTCTGGTCGGCGGCACAGCTGGGCAAAGGCAGGCTCCCCCATCTGGCTCCTACGTGTAGGTGCAGCCAGGTGGCTCCACGCACTGCCACCACTGCAAGCACCAGTTCCGTAGGTCCCATTGGTCATGGTTCTGAGCCAATGGGAGCTGCAGGGGTGGCACTTGCAGATGGGGCAGCACGCGGAGCTCCTGGCCGTACCTCTGCGTAGGAACCAGAGGGGGGACATGCCACTGCTTCTGGGAGCTGCCTGAGGGAAGCACCACCCAGAGCCTGCATCACTGACCCCTTCCTGCGCTCCAACCCCCTGCCCCAGCCCTGATCCCCCTCTTGCCCTCCGAACCCCTCCATCCCAGCCCAGAGCACCCTCCTGCACTCCAAACCCCTCATCCCAAGCCCAACCCCAGAATCAACACCCCCAGCCAGAGCCCAACCCCCCACCCCAGCCCAGAACCCCTTCCCTCACCCCGAACCCCTCATTTCTGGCCCCACCCCAGAATCCACGCCCCCAGCCCAGAGCCCATATCCCCTCCCACTCCCCAACCCCCTACCCCAGCCCTGATCCCCCTCCTGCACTTCAAACCCCTCACCCCAGAGTCTGCACCCCCAGCCAGAGCCCTTACCCCCCCTGCACCCCAACCCGGAGCCCCTTCCCTCACCCCTCATTTCTGGCTCCACTCCAGAATCCACACCCCCAACCCAGAACCCATATCCCCTCACACACCCCAACCCCCTGCCTCAGCCCTGAACCCCTCCCATACTCCAAACTCCTTGGCTCCATACCCCAGCTCAGAGCCCCCTCCTGCACCACAAACCCCTCATCCCTGGCCACACCTCAGAGCCCACACCCCCAGCCGTAGCCCTCACCGCATCCCAACTCACTATCTCAGCCCCGAGCCCCCTCCCACACCCTGACCTTATTTCTGGTCCCACCCCAGAGCCTGCGGCCCTATCCTGGAGCCCACACACATAAACCCACCCCGCACCCCAGCCCCCTGATCCAGCCCTGTGAAAATGAGCGAATGAGTGAGGGTGGGGAGAGTAAGCGACAGAGGGGAGGGGATGAAGGGGACGAGCCTCGGAGGAGGGGCGGGGCATGGGTCAGGGCAAGGTGTTTGGTTTTGTGTGAGAGGAAAGCTGGCAACCCTCCTCTCTGCACTTGTGAAGGCAAAGCTGAGCCTGGAAACCTGAACCATAATCTTTCATCAGAGTGTGGCTCACTATCCTCGGGGCCAGCCTACTTAACACATTTTTATTGGTAATATTAGAGTGCAAAATATGCAGTACAAGGCTAATAAGGAGGCTTAGTACAATGCTTAAAAAAATTAAAATATTCCTTATTGAGTCTGAAAATAGTATCTGTCACTCAGTTGTTGCATGACTGAGTTCACTCACATGGAGAAATCATAAATCATTTATCCCATTTGACTTTTTGAAATCAATAGAAGTGGGTCCTCCAGGCTGCCTAGAGAAGCTGCAGGGAAGCAGCCAATCGGAGCTCAGCAGGCTCATGTAAAAGGAGTTGCTGGATAGAGCAATCAGTTGCTAGCTGGAGCCAGGGGAGCAAGGATGGTGCTCCTGGCTAGGTGCAGAAGTTACAGTACCTGGACAGAAGAGCAAAGAAGGTGCTCCTGGCTGATGACTGGGACTCAAGCAAGCCTTCAGCCCTGAGGTAAGGGTGAAGCTGAAAATGCTGGGTCTAAGAAGGGAACTAGCCCAGGGAAATGCAACAGCAAGTTAAAAGGAAGCAGCTAGGTTGGGACCTGGAATAGTGGGCAGGGCTGGGTCCCCGTCCTACCCCCCCCCCCCCCCCACGCCACAGGTGGAGTGGCCTAAGCCCAGAGAAGGCGGCAGAAGATCTCAAAGAGAGCCAGTATTTATCTGAACTATTTTGTTTGTATACCTACAGACTGTGCGTGACTCAGCTCTCACTGAAAACTTGCTCAAAAACTTTATCAACAGGGATCACCGCAAGTGAAGCAAAGCTGAGAGAGTGCAGGTGCAGATGCACTCGGCCAGCAGGGGCATTCACATGAGATGAGTGGCCCTGTCACAGGCTGTTATAAAGAAGATAGTAATCAATTATTCTCTGTGTCCACTGGAGGTAGGGCAAGAAGTAATGGGCTTAATCTGCAGCAAGGAAGATTTATGTTAGATATTAGGAAAGTTTTCTCACTATAAGGATAGTTACACTCTGGAATAGACTTCCAAGGGAGGTTGTGGAATCCTCTTCATTGGAAGGTTTAAAAGTAGGTGAGACAAACCTGGCACGGATGGTCTAGCTTTACTTGGACCTGCCTCAGACTAGAGGGCTGTACTCTGACTTCATGAGGTCCCTTCCAGTCCTACACTTCTATGATTTTATGATATCTTCCAGTTATTCCCATATTCAGAATTCTATTATGAAGTCTGATATACTTTACTTTCAAAAGAGCATGGCAAGTCAGCTCTTGCATAGAGACATGGACCATGGAAGCAACCAGTTGAGTGATTTTTATTCCATTTTGAAGAAAATGGTATGATATAGTACAGGCAATACATGCAATAGAACCTGAGCCATACAGAGCAATGGTTCTCTTCCTTTCTTCAATTCAAATTCCAACATAGGTTGCCCCCAGATTAAGTACCAATGATGTAGAGCACCAATCACAATTAGCAAGTACGTACCAATAAATCTACATTGTTCTCTGTTCACCACAGCAGTGGTAATAAATACAAGAGAGTGAACGGTGCTTTATGTCCGGGTGTCTGCAATCCATTAAATAAGCACTTGATTGGAATAAACTTCCATTCAAGTTGTGGTAATAGTTGTGATTTTAAGTAATTGCAGACTTACTTGTCAGGGTAGTTAACCAACTCAGTGGAGTTCTCTGACATTTTTGCTTGAAGAAAATCTTATCTAAAGCAAAGGTTAAAGTGTTTATTTGTGGTTTCCATGAATGTTACTCAAATGAGCTTACAATCTATACAGTCCATATTTACAGGACAGGGATTCATACATGAATATATATTTCATAGCAAACATTCCAGAAGCTATAGCAGAATCAGAAGAGTATTGAGAAGTTTCTGATTTCCATTCAGGGAGAGCAAAAGGCTGGACTTTGACTGTATCTGATCAGCAGATAATTCCCCTAGCTAAGGGGAACACAGACACAAAGTCAGGAGAGCCAACTCCTGTACCAGTGTCATCCCCTGTCCCAGAAGAAGGGGCATGTCAGAGCAAGTCGGGAAGGGGACATGGCAGAGCTCAGCTCTATCATGATCCTCCACTGGCCTCTGGTCCCTCAGTGGCCAGTAGTGCAAGTTAGAGCTGCCTACTTGCACCAAAGTCAGGTGTAGTATAGATGGGCATGGCCCATAGTATGAGAGAATATGTGGAATAGCTGTTGTTGTGTAAGGATATAGAGTGTAGCTGTGACTTTCCATACAGGGACTGTGCGTGAACTGCAGGTCACAGTGAACAACAGGCTCTGGTATCTGTTGGGTAAGAGTTACGTAATCTTTAACTACAAATACCTAGGCTGTTAATACAGGTTCTCATTGCGTTAACCAAAAGACCACAATAATCAGAGTCTTGACACCACACTCTCCTACACATATTGCCCTGAGCTGAGTGGAGTTCAGACAGAGAGGAGAGTTTGGCCCTACCTTTCATAATTGTGACCTGGTGAGATTGAATCCTCTAGACCCAAAGGCGACTAACAAGAGAATACGTGAATACTTCTCGAGAGTCAAATTGAATTTGTTTTCACTGCCAACAGCTAATGACTGTCCTATCCGGATAAAGGGGTTAGGTCTAAGAGTTGTCACCTGATACCTCTATATTGATATAGTACTGGCATGTATCCTGGGTATTCACATTAAGACTTACTCCCTCCTAAAATTATTGTTCCTTATAACTACCAACATATAAAGGGAGTGAAAATTTGTAAAGTGGTTTATTCTTAGTTCTTACATATGATCTATGAGCAGTCTCTACTTTTGCGCATTGTATAGCATTAAGCTCATTGTTGGTGCTAACCAGATCACCATAAAGAGCTATACATGAACAAAAATGGGATCATAAAACAGTCATAGAATTATATACTTATGTATATACATAGGACAGAAGGAAAACACTCTTTTGTTATTAAGCATTTATTACAAGAGTGAACAAATAAGATACATATAATTCCATGCAAAGGCTACATTAAAATAAAGAACTAAAGATTATAAATTTAATCCCTCAAAAGTCAGGAAATGAATAAATAAAGGACTTCCTGTTCTACCTCAAACTCAGGAAGAGAAGTATGTCTGTTCATCAACCAGCGGGTGTCCTGCTTTGCATTAAATGCTGGGGCAGTTGCCCCCCATTCTAAAAGATGCTTAGAATTAGCATCTGTTTCCCTGGAGATGCTGTGATGTCATTTTTCCAGTTCTGTGGCACATAGTTGAAACTCTGAAGTTCAGTGAGTAAAGCATAAGACCGGTTACAGAATTTTTAACCAATTGGATTGCCGTGAACCAGATCCCATTGATGAGCTGAATTCCTTCAGATAGTACATTGCACCTCCTTAAAATGAGCTGTTCATAAATACTCTGTGATCTAGCTGTATTTTTGTGAGGAGGTGAATTTAGTTTTATTTTAGTGCTTATTCCATTGCTCTTTAACTGTGTTTCTCAAATAGAAACAGAACTTTAGGAAAAATAAATAGACACAGAATTTTAGGAAAAATAACAACTAAATCCAGGCTGAACCAATAGTTTCAAACAATATATATATATTTGTCTCTTCCCATAGAAAAGAAAGAAAACTGCTCACATGGAATTCCATTTAGTTCATGTGTATAGAATGAACTAGCCCCTTAGGGGCAGGGGTAATTAGCTGTGGCAAGCATCTATGCTAAAATGTAACCTGTATTGGGGAGAGCTAGTGCAAGACCTTCCACAACACTTAAATCCCGGGTTGGGACTATCTGTGGAGAAACTGATGGAGCATCCACTCCAGTGTGCCTCCAAGTTCCGTGTATGCTGCAGGAGTGGTTTCTGTGATAGTTTCACCAAGGGCTGTGTAGAGCGTTGCATCAGGAGAAGGCCAAAGGCAATCTAGGGCAGAGGCCATGGGGTCTCTCTGTGGCTCCACCATCATACTATGCAGACAACACAGAGAGACTGCAGCCAGTGCTCTAACCCTAGTTCCAGGACAGCAAGGGGAATGGGTTTTACCTCCCCAGCCCGACTGCCCTGCACTTCACCTCCTTGGAGCCTGATGCTTTGGCTTCTCTGGCCTTAAAATCCATGGTACCACTATGGTTATCTAGTTTGACTTTCTGCATAACAAGCCACTCACTAATTGTGGCAGTGGAGGGAATTATTCTTTTCTGCATGGTAGCAAACACAACAATGTGTTATCTATATTTTAGAAAGACATTCAGTTTCAAATGCAGGTGAATTGCACTTCACCTTTATGTAACTTTATCCTCTCCATATATAGTACACACACTCTGTAAGGCAGCAAAGAGATAAAGGAAAGAGCTCTCATGAGCAGAGTTCAGAGACATCGTTGGAGTTGTGCTGAAAAACTTGCACTTCTTGGTTTCCAGTCTTTAGGTCCTCAGTTTCTATGGCTGTCAATCCAGCATCTTTCACAAGCACTAGTACAGTAGAACCTCAGTTACGAACACCAGAGTTATGAACTGACTGGTCAACCACACACCTCATTTGGAACCGGAAGTACGCAATCAGGCAGCAGCAGAGACACACACAAAAAGCAAATACAGTACAGTACTGTGTTAAACATAAACTACAAAAAAAGGGAAAGGTTTTTTTTGTTTTTGTTTTTTTAAGATTTGACCAGGTAAGGAAACCATTTCTGTGCTTGTTTCATTTAAATTATGATGGTTAAAAGCAGCATGTTTCTTTTGCATAGTAGTTTCAAAGTTGTATTGTCAATGTTCAGTTGTAAACTTTTGAAAGGACAACCATAATGTTTTGTTCAGAGTTATGAACATTTCAGAGTTACGAACAATCTTCATTTCTGAAGTGTTCACAACTCTGAGGTTCTACTGTAGTCATTTTTAAAGAATACAAATGAAAAGGGTTTATTAAATAATGTAAAAGCAGAAAACCATTGGCTGACATGAACCACACAGGTCATAGGGAAAAGAAAAAAGAGTAACCCAACTGGTGAAGATGCCTAGTAATAATTAAAAGATGTGCGTGCACACACACACAGGACAAATTCTGCTCTCAGTAAATCCAGATGCAATTTTATCACAGTCAATGAGGTTGCACACAGTGCAGCCCTGTCATCATAGTGACAGAACAGATGGATTCCCAAGAGTTATTTTGAATAAAAACCGTTTTTCTAATGTTACTAGATATTAAATCATATTGTAGCAGATAGCTATACACCACATTTGCTTGTTTGCAGTTAATTGTTTGCACTGTCACCTTATTTACTGTGCATGTGACTTAACAGAAATGCTATGACTGTATGATGAGAAACAATTTTTCACTAACGATTTCTGCAAGAAATAACTGTAATAGTACTGCATACATATAACCATAACACAGACAAGATAAATTCTCTTATAATGAAGGGAAAATAATGTGAAAAAATATTAGCAGGATATTAGAATTGCATACTTTGACTTTGTTATAGACATTACACCAAGATAACCAAACAACTTTCTACCAGATGGACACTGAAAAACACTGTAATTGTCCTATTTGATGTTAGCTACTGTAAGTCTTTGGAAGGCCAATGAGTCCAGCATTGAGAATACATTCTCTATGTAGATATCATACTTTACCTTGAAGCTGACATTTTCTTTGTTCTTCTTTTAACTCTTTAAGTCGTTCCCATTGTCTCAGTCCCACTGTGCATGGGAGCCCCAAATGCTGTTGTCAAGGAAACAGCTAAACTCTCCCAAATACAAATTCCCCATACCATCATCAGTCCATCTGCAAGTTTGCTGGGCAGCTCAGAAAAATGACAAACTATCCAGGAATACCTGCTGGTAAACTCTCTACAATTCTGCACATTTCTTGGAGCAGACACAGTATTTTGAAATGAAAATAAAATCAGAAAAGGCTGTTGGACTTGCAGAAGACACAGGAGTCACAAGTTCCCTGAGTTTCTTGGATCACTGTTGCTGAGACACTTGTGTTTACTCTTGTTTCTAGGTAACCAACATGCCTGTTCAGATAAGGAAGTGTACAGGAAAATGAGCTGTTGTATTTGTCCTATGCTGAAAGTCATTGATGAGGATTCTGCAGAATAATGTTAAAGGATCTCACATGCTTTTTGTGGGAGGATGCCCTGGATTTGAGGAGAGAGCACAGGGAGCATCTGCTCTCTTGCAGCGGTGCAGGCGTCAGGCCAGGTAGTAACGCAAGTGTTCAATGAGGGTTGCAGCGGGGGTAGAGGGTGTCACAGAGCTGTGGTGAAACAGGAGAGAAAAGTTGAACTGAGGTGCAGATCATAGAAGGTTAGGGTTGGAAGAGACCTCAGGAGGTCATCTAGTCCAACCCCCTGCTCAAAGCAGGACCAACCCCAACTAAATCATCCCAACCAGGGCTTTGTCAAGCCAGGCCTTAAAAACCTCTAAGGATGGAGATTCCACCACCTCCCTAGGTAACCCATTCCAGTGCTTCACCACCCTCCTAGTGAAATAGTTTTTCCTAATATTCAGCCTAGATCTCCCCCACTGCAACTTGGGACCATTGCTTCTTGTTCTGTCATCTGCCACCACTGAGAACAGACTAGCTCCATCCTCTTTGGTAGTTGAAGGCTGCTATCAAATCCCCCTTCACTCTTCTCTTCTGTAGACTAAATAAGCCCCATTCCCTCAGCCTCGCCTCATAAGTCATGTGCCCCAGCCCCTAATAATTTTTGTTGCCCTCTGCTGGACTCTCTCCAATTTGTCCACATCCTTTCTGTAGTGAGGGACCAAAAACTGGACGCAATACTCCAGATGTGGCCTCACCAGTGCTGAACAGAGGGGAATAATCACTTCTGTGCAGCAGTCTGGGAACTGAACTTGTCTATGAAGACCGAGGCAAAAAAAGCATTGAGTACTTCAGCTTTTTCCACATCATCTGTCACTAGGTTGCCTCCCCCATTCAGTAAGGGGCCCACACTTTCCCTGACCACCTTCTTGTTGCTAACCTTCTTGTTTCTGTACAAAACCCTTTTTGTTACCCTTCACATCCCTTGCTAGCTGCAACTCCAATTGTGCTTTGGCCTTCCTGATTACACCCCAGCATGCTCGAGCAATATTTTTATACTTCTCCATAGTCACCTGTCCAAGTTTCCACTTCTTGTAAGCTTCCTTTTTGTGTTTAAGCTCACCAAAGATTTTTCTGTTAAACCAAGCTGGTCACCTGCCATATTTGTTATTCTTTCTGCACATCAGGATGGTTTGTTCCTGTGCCCTCAATAAGGCTTCTTTAAAATACAGCCAGCTCTCCTGGACTCCTTTCCCCATCATATTAGCCTCCCAGGGGATCCTGCCCATCAGTTCCCTGAGGGAGTCAGTCTGCTTTTCTGAAGTCCAGAGTCCGTATTCTGTGGCTTTCCTTTCTTCCTTTTGTCAGGATCCTGAACTCAACCAACTCATGATCACTGCTGCCCAGGTTGCCACCCACTTCTGCTTCCCCTACGAATTCTTCCCTGTTTGTGAGCAGCAGGTCAAGAGGTGCACGGCCCCTAGTTGGCTCCTCCAGCACTTGCACAGGAAGTTGTCCCCAACACTCTCCAAAAACTTCCTGGATTGTCTGTGCACTCCTGTATTGCTCTCCCAGCAGATGTCAGGGTGATTGAAGCCCCCTATGAGAACTAGGGCCTGTGATCTGGAAGCTTTTGTTAGTTGTCCAAAAAAAGCCTCGTCTACCTCATCCTCCTGGTCTGGTGGTCTATAGCAGATGCCCACCATAACATCACCCTTGTTGCTCTCACCTCTAAACTTAACCCAAAGACTCTCAACAGGCTTTTCTCCATTTTCATACTGGAGTTCTGAGCAATCATATTGCTGTCTTACATACAGTGCAAGTCCTCCACCTTTTCTCCCTCGCTTGTCCTTCCTGAACTATTTATACCTATCCATGACAGTGCTCCAGTCATGTGAGTTACCCCACCAAGTCTCCGTTATTCCAATCGCATCAGAGTTCCTTGCCTGTGCCAGGACTTGCAATTCTTCCTGCTTGTTTCCTAGGCTTCTTGCATTCATGTACAGGCACCTAAGATAACTAGCTGATTGCCCCACTTTCTCAGTATGAATGAGGAGGCCTCCCCTGTTGCACCCTCCTCCTTGAGTTGAACGCACAAATCACCCTCTCCCAGTTGGGATTTATTGAAGGGGTTCTAGGTTAATACAATTGACATGAATTTGGAAAATGTCTCCAGTTTTATTCTTTCCATGCAGCTTTATAAGCAGTGAACTCAAAAATACAAAAGAAGTAGTACAGAGCATTGAGGGTAGCTTTTCTTTCCCCACTGCTCTCTGTCCAGCTTTCTAGTCCACACCTCTCTCGCCTATGAGAGTTCCACTCTCAGACCTATCTAGTGTAACTGTGACGTTGTGCAATCTATATGGTTTTATAAAAACATAATAAGAAGTGAGTATAATGTAACTGGAATAGTTTTATAAAAATATGATAAGTGAATATAATGTAACTGGAATATGCTTCATGCAAAAGGTCTCTTGCAAGGTATCATTACAAAGCTTATAATCTACTGAGTGTGATCATCCTATTTGTATAAATGTACCACTCTTGTATCTGAAACTAGAAATATGAAATATAACTCTGAGGGCCTATTGTAATTATGCAAAGTGTGGGCCATTAATAGTGGTTTGAAATCTTGATGACTCCCATTAACCAGGACCATTGTCTGCAGATTGCTGGGTTTACCTGTTAGTCTTCCTGTGTATGTGTGTGCTGGCAAGTGGATAATGAAGTCTTGCATTGACATGTGATCATGTCATCTAACCTGGAATCCATCTTTGACCTGGTGCTTTTCCACTGGGGGTGGGGGCGGGGGTGAAAACCCAGAGGGACAAAGGGTTCCCTCCTTATGCAAAAAATATATAAAGGGGTGAAAGAGAACAGAGGGAGAGAGGAGCCATCATGAAGAATCCCCTAGCTATCACCTGAGCTGGAACAAGAGCTGTACCAGGTGAAAGAATTGTGCCCAGGCCTGGAAGGTGTCCCGTCTGAGAAAAAGCTTACTGAAGCATCTCTGAGGGTGAGATTATCTGTATTCAGTTTGATTAGACATAGATTTGCGCATTTTATTTTATTTTGTTTGGTGACTTACTTTGTTCTGTCTGTTACTACTTGGAACCACTTACATCCTATTTTCTGTATTTAATAAAATCACTTTCTACTTAGTAATTAACTCAGAGTATGTATTAATACCTGGGGGAGCAAACAGCTCTGCATATCTCTCTATCAGCGTTATAGAGGGCGAACAATTTATGAGTTTACCTTGTATAAGCTTTATACAGGGTAAAACTGATTTATTTGGGTTTAGACCCCATTGGGAGTTGGGCATCTGAGTGCTAAAGACAAGTACACTTCTGTGAGCTGTTTTCAGGTAAACTTGCAGCTTTGGGGCAAGTAATTCAGACCCTGGGTCTGTGTTGGAGCAGATGGGAGTGTCTGGCTCAGCAAGACAGGGTGCTGGAGTCCTGAGCTGGCAGGAAAAACAGGAATAGAAGTAGTCTTGGTACGTCGTGTGGCAGCTCCCAAGGGGGTTTCTGTGATCCAACCCGTCACAGTAACATATCTTCTAGGGCACTCATGCGTGCAGGCTGCTGCCCCTTATGGCTACTCATGCAAACCCTGGGCCTGTAGGAATGGCCTGCAATTGCATCTTGTGACTGACAGAGACCGCTGCAATGCCTGCTCTGCAGGCTGTGAAGCTATGTCTGTCTCACTGCTCCCCCTTGCTGGATGGGAGCGGGGAAGCAGAGTTGGGAGGAGCAGGCAAGAAGTCCAAGGGACAGACAATATAGAGGACCCAGTCCTGGCCCCAGGCTCCCTGCTCGCAACCAGCTGCCCCCTCATCAGACACACCTCCCCACCTCCCAGAAAGCCCATCTTCTGTGCAGATACCTTCACAAATCTAGCTGCCCATGCTCAGGCACCCCAGTATAGTATGCTGCCAAGTTTCATGAAGCTCTGTGTTCTCTCTCCACTGATGCTTGGGGCAGGGTGGATTGATCTGAAAATGAAGTTTATGGCTGAATAATTAGCAAATTATGTAATAAGCTAATTCACATATTAGTAAATAATTTGCATTAAATGTCACACATGAAGCTGCACAAAATTTAGCTGCTATACCTCCTCCTGTGCTTGAAGTCTCAGTTGCACATAGTTATCTCCCAGCTGGCAGTAAAACCCTCAGATGTCTTTGAACACTCAATAACCCCCCCAATCCCTTTACTGGCTCAATGAGGTGTTCCTGAACAGACCCCACATCCCTTCCAGAGGGTTTCCAAAAGATATGCTCACCCATTCACAGAGGGCCTGGCTAAAATATACATGACTCTCCTCATCCCTAAGGAGGGAGCTCCATGTGGGTGGGAGAGTTGTCTAGCCATTTGCCCCACCCCTGGCATAGCTGCTGTGTCCTGAGGCAGGCACAAGGGGCAGTGCATGCTGCTTCTTTCTGAAGGACCATCTGTAAGGAGCTCTGCTAAATGAATTACCTATGGCCCACTGAGTCTCTTTGCGTGCATCTGCATTGCCCAGGGAGAATGGCTTGGGTCAGCTCTGCCTGAACACTACAGCTCTGTCCACCCAGCTTCCAATGTGTGTCTGGCAAACAAACAAAAAAAGCCAGAATGTTGCCCTCTCTCTGTAGTCTCCATGGACAAGTTGAGTTATTCATTAATCACAGATGCCCATGTGTGATAGCTGTGGTATCTCAATGTACTTCATTTCACTGAGTTTGTTTATAGCTAGAACAGACTGAAGTCAATAATTTAGCAGTGCTGCTGTCAGCCTGACAGTACTGAGAAAACAACACTAAGTGAGCACACGTTGGAGGGAGATGACAATGTGACCAATCAGCTATTAAGATATGAGTAATATACATATAAATATGGTAAAAGGACTCAACCCTGTATGCGGATATATGATTTAGGATGGGTTCAGGGTAAATGCAG